AGTTAAACACTTTTAAAATCTCCTTAAATTCTGAAAATAAAAGTAATATTTTAATTTATGTACTTAATTAACAATCTTATAGAACGTTCAATTTATAAGTTTTATGTATGATTTCAACACTTTGATTGAGCTCAATGATTTTGGAGGCTATATTGAGATTATTAATTCAACATTTAATTTTATAAACTCATGTGGGGCTATCATAAGGAATAAAAGATTCGATCAAATCTATCAAAATTTGATATCAAATAATAGCAATTTTATAAATATTGATCTAATCAGGTCTATTGTTTTTGAAAAGAGCAAACTACCATTATCATCACCCTTTGATATGGTTTGCGGAAATTCCAACTCAAATATTGATAAGAAATGCTTTGAAATTATTATATCCAATAGCAATGTATTAAATTTCAACTAACTCTCATAAAATACAGAAGTTCCACTTTGGGTAAATCCTTCTCTTAAAATGAAAAATTTTGGATTGATTCTAGATTTGGATGATTTTTAGGGACCAATAATTTTACAAGGCAATTAGATTTCATATAATTATGCAATAAATCTTAACAATAATTATATTGATAACCTCCTTTAAAATTTACCTTTAAAAATTGATTTAAATTCAAATTATGGCTTCAAGAGTTCAATTCAAATTAGATCACTTATATCAATTGTTAATCATGGAGAGTATAAAGTCAGTTTTGTTCAAAACAAAATAAATTAAAATACAGCAGCAAAAGGACTATTATATTTTGATATGAACCATAGAAACAAAGATTCCGAATTGCTTATTTAAGAAAATATTTTTGATATAAATTTTGGATTAATTGTGAGTAACTCCATATTTATTCGTGCAAGAGGACCTTAATCTATAGATGTTTACAAAAGCACATAAAATGACTTTTGTCAAGGTTATACAATTAAGTCTAATTAGTTTTTAAATTAGGTTGGAATATCTGGTAGTTCTGGAGGATCAGTATATCTTGAATGTGTCAACTTTTAGCAAGTTGATGATGAAGCAAATGGAAAAATATACATTCCTAAAAGGATAGTATCTACTATTGATTAATTGAAAAATAGTTCAAATTTCGATGATTTAGATGGAACTGTTTCTGTAGTATTCAGAGACAACGTTTTTATGCATAATACAGCATCAAATGGATAAGGAATATTGACTGTGAAAAATTTTCCAAAAATATCAAGTATTAATGATGCTTATATCTTAAATTTTGATGCTTTTCAAGAGGTGAATACAAAGTTTGCTTCAAATTTGAATTACCAGGAAAATTTTAAAAATGGAGAAAAATTTCAAGACTTATATTAAAACAATACTTATGAGGATAAAAAGTTTGCTTCATCCATAATACATTTTGAAAAATTGAAGAGCATTTATATAGAATAAATTAGAATAGACTCAAACATACTTATTGAGCCAAAATTTTCAAATAAAAGAGCTTCCATTTTCTATTTCAAAGATATCTCTGACAGCGTTTAAATAATTTCATTAGATGGCTAAAGTATAAAGGGATCATATAGCGCTTCTGAGATAGATGAATTATTAAGCAATTTGGATCATTCTTAATGGCTTTTTCCTGGAACCAAGTTGAGATTATTATAATTGGTACCATTTGCAAATTAAGATAAAATTTTAGAATTGAAAATCGAAAATTGGACATTCAATGAGATTTCATTTAATGCTGAAGAAATTTTAAACGCATAAAGTTTGATAGGAATATATTAAGAGCCAGTAGAGTATTAAATAGATCAAGATATTCATTTAAATATTACCATAAACAACCTGAAGATATCTGCAATTGAATATCATGTTATTTGTTTTGATTTAATGCAAATATTAATAGAAGATTCATATTTTAATGGAATTTAATTATAAAATAGGAAATAACAATAAATAAGTTTTATTAAAGTTATTGCTGATAATTTGCAAGAAACTGTCCTAAATTTTTCCATTAAAAATAGTTAATTCATAAATATAAAAACTGAGGAATATTCTTTAATAAACTTCATTGATGTATATGCTATTGATAATTAAATTATCAATATAAACTTGACTGATAGCATATTCAATAATATATAATTATATAACGGCTATGGAGGCTTCCTATCTATAAATTAAAGCAATAATATAGCTTTAAATATTGCTGATTGCACTATTTCTTATTTTAAATTCAATGATATTTGGTCTTATCCCTATCAAATTGATGATGATAGTATAAATAGTAACGATTCTCCCTTTGTCCCAAGCTTTGGAGGTCTATTTTTTATAGTATCGAATTAATCATAAATCAATATTTAAAATACATCAATTTAGAATATTGATGGAATCAATATGGGGGGACTTTTTTAAATATATTCTACAAAGAGGATCGAGATTAATTTAACAAACAATGTCTTACTCTAGGATTTTTCAATTTAGAATTACAATGGGGTGTTTTACCTACTATCTTAGGAAATATAAATCATTCTAGAAAACCTGAATATTACAAATATAGATGGAGGTGTAGTATTTATAAATTCTACTGATCTAAAAGTTGGGAAATTGCTAATAACTAATTCAACATTACAGAATTATAATTTATAATTGGCATCATAAACCTCATAATATTTAAATAAATCATTGATATTTAGTCAAACTCCTGTTGAAATTACAATTTTAGACAGTTAAATACTTAACTTCTTATCAAATGCTATATATTCAGAGGGTTAAAATAGCATAATAATAATGAGAAATAGTAAATATGAATGTGCTATTGGAAGTATTCTCAGTGAATTATTCTTTGATGCTAAATTATTTTTCACAAGCAGATATATCTTACTCTAGCAAATGACTTCATAAACTAATTACTTCAGTCCATTTGTAATTAAAGGAGGCATAGTAAATGCCTATAATAATACTTATAAATCATGTAGGTTTGGTTCTAATGGAGGACTATTTTAACTTATAAATAGTGTATATGAAGATTAAGGTTTAAGTTAGTACGAATAAATTGGCGGAATAAATGGGGGAGTATTTAATCTGATCAATAGTACAGTTAAAATATCTAAGTTTATTGTATAAAAGACAACTGCATTGCAAGGTGGTATATTTTTTATTGGCTCAAATAGCTCTTTAATAATACAAGATGGCCATATATTTAATTCTTCAGCTTATAAACAAGGAGGCACCATATTTTTATTTGATAATAGTTCATTTATGAGTAACTCACCTTCATTAACTAATGAATAAATAGGATATCCAATTTAAAATATACAAATTGTAAATGTTGAAATTTATAATTCTGTCAGTATACAAGATGGTGGTGTCTTTTATATAGATAGTCCTACAATCGAATTATATTTTTAAAATCTTCAAACTAAATAAACAATAACTCTTGAAGGAAATGGAGGTTTTATGAATATTTAAAATGCAGCATCATTTAGTGCTTATAAAATGGAACTTTTGGATTCTTTTTCTACATAAAAAGGACATTTTATTTACTGCGAAGGATTTTCGATTTATGCTTTTCAAGTTTTTGAATCAAATTTTACTTAGTTAAAATATTTAGATACATAGCAATATCCTATTAAATTATTATTAAGTTACACTTTTTCTGGTATAATGCTTTAAAATATTGCATTTTCTTTATTCTAGAACTGCATATTTTAAAGTAATATTTTTTCTTATTAAGGCGGAGTTTTTCATATTTTTGGAGGAAGTTTTTAATGTAGCGGATGCAATTTTTACAATAATAGTGCCTATAGTGGAGGAGCTATGTATTTTAATTAAACGATTACAATAATTCTTATCCAAATATCAGTAAATCAAGCTTTTGCATTTGAAAACGGAGGCGCAATTAATATTAACAAACCCTTGGGAAATACATAAATAAAAAATAGTACTATTTATTAGAGTTATGGATCGTTTTATGCAGGAGGTATATTTTATCAAGTGGATGATTTAGAATAAGGATTTATAGATATTGTTATTCTTGAAAGAGCTAGAAGGTTATAATTGAATTATTTTCCTACTTTTATTATTTTGGAGTTAGATAATGTAATTTTTAGAGAGGTATATGGTGACACAGCAAGTGTTTTATATGTCAGATCAAAATAAACTATAGTAGAAATAAAATCCTGCTAATTAGACTAAGTTTTCGGGAAATCTTAAAATACTATCGAAATCTATTTTGCTAAAAGTGTTGTTATTCAAAATTTGACTGCTACTAATATACACTCTGCATACTAATCAAGCTTTCTGATTGTTAGGGAAGTTGAAGACCATGTTTTTATTAACCATACTAGAATTTTCTGTAATTTTAATAGTCAAGTAAGACATCTATTTTAAGAGGAATTAAAATGGAAATAATAAAAAGATAAAAGAAAAGTGTATAGCATATTCAACCGGATTGATCATCCTTTGGTCACTCCAATTTTCATAAATTCCACGAAATAGTTCATTATCAATAATTTGCATATGAGAGATTGTATAATGGATAGAAATAATGATTAATGAAAATAAGCTTTAATTTTCATGAGTTAAAATAACATTACATTTATTGATACAAATTCAATATATGAATATAGTGAAGGTCTAAATGGTGGAATTTATAATATGTACAGTTTCAGCTTTAACTACCTCTTAAATAACACATACTAGCATCTAGGAACAAACTAGTATGGACTAATTAATTCTATTGCACCTCAGCTTTTATTTGTTCATAATTGTACCTTCTAAAACATAACATCATATGGAGCATAAGGAGTTATTATTAGTCTGCTAAGCCAATAATTTTCTACTATCAATTATGATATGAAAAGAAGAGTATAAATTAGAAATGTGACAATTGATACAGTGAAAATGTTTAATAATTCTTTTGGAGGTTTCATTGCTCATAGTGATACTGAAATTAATACAATCAAAATTTAATCGGTTACTGTTAAAAATTTGGAAAATGCTTAAATTTGCGGTGTTTTTTGTTTCACTCCATTCTCTGGTGAACTTCACATTACTTCTTCAAGCAAATACCAGAAAACTGAATTCTCAAATTTTTATTCCTTGAGTGAATCGTAATTTATGAAATTCAATTCAAGCTAAATATCTGCTATTACAAATGTTTATCTCGAAAATATTACCATTGACTGCTAAAATAAGGATAAGCCTGATTAGACATCCAATATATTTATATAAAACAGCGAGGGAATAATAAGAATATTAGAAAAAGCTCAGCTTTTTACAAAAAACTCATTTTTCGGAAATTGTTACAAATAATAAAGTGGATCAATGATTTCAATATCTACTAATTTGTATGAAGATTATGGATCAATTTTTTAAAATATTAATGGAGCATATGGTGGCATAGTTTCATGCTATGGATGTTTAATAAAAATGAAAAATACTACAATGATTAATATAAATGCAATCAGTGGAGGCTCAATTGCAATAACTGGATTTTGCGATATACTATTAGATGCAATTTCAGTTCATAACCTTTCAGTTTATAGTAAGGGTGGATTTCTATTTGATCAATAGTATTAATCAGATGCTGGAAACTTGACTAAGACGCATATAATTTTGAAAAATAGTCAATAGATATATGATATTGAAGCTAATGAAGGTGGATTATTCTATCTATTTTAAACTTCTTCATCTCTCTTGATCTAAAATGTCCTGATATAAAATGTAAGATCAACAGTTAAAGGAGGGTTATTTAGTGTCATTAATGCAGACTTAATACAGATTGAAAATTCCAGGATCATTGATATTTTTTCAGTCAATGCAGGTTTTATATTCTCATCATCAAATATTCTCAATATCCTAATTAAAAATACTAAAATTAATTGTGATTAAACTTATGATTAATAAGAGGTACTATATCAATACATTAGTAATAAAGGTTACAATCCAGAGAGTAAAGCTTATTTTGTACTTTAAAATTCAGCTAGCATAAATTTTTACAGCAGTATAATAGAAAATTGTGGTAATTAAAATCTAGGAGGAGTATTTTCAATTTAAAAGACTAAATTTAATGACATAGGGTCTATCTTTAAATACAATTCAGGTCAATATGGAGGAGTTATAAATGCTTAAGAGTCAGTTATCAAATTATTATCATCAGAATTTTATAATAACTTAGGAAAAACAGGCGGAGTAATAAATGCTGTATTCAATTCAAGTGTGACATTAACACTTTGTATTTTCTAGAAGAACAATGCTACAATGTCAGCAGGAGTATTATTTTTAGCAACTTAAGGTAGCCTAACAATCTATGGGAGTACATTTTACTAAAATTAAGCTGTTGAGAATTCAGTTTTAGAGATACTAAGTACTAATCTAGCACAAAATGTTGTTTTGAACAAAAACTAATTCAAAGAAAACAAAGCATAAAAAAACACAATTTCTATTCTCTATTCCAGTGTGACATTAAATGATAATAAATTTCAAGATAACTTTGCGCTATAAAAAAAGAAAAATATTTTACTTGGATTTGTAAATATATCAATGAAAAATAACATTTTCATAAGTAAAGTTTTAATTGATTTGTAATCATCTTAATTATTAGATGAGACTACAGGATCTTTTATATTTTTAATTTTTGATGTTGTTTTGTTTATTGATAATTGCTAATTTATTGGAGGATTATCAAATTAAGGAGGAGCTATATTCATTTCTGGAGAAAGTGATTTAAATATTAAGAATTCGAAATTTATTAATAATTAAGCTATTTCAAAAGGAGGAGCAATATATTCTTCAGGTTTTTTGTCTATTTATATTGGAGATAATACAAAATTTGTTGATAATTCTGCTTTAGATTACGGAGAAGACATTTATGTCACTAATTCATTTAGAACAATAAACTTAAATAATATCTATTTAAGCAACAAAAATTCTAAAAATTCTATTTATATTGAGCAAGCATTTTTAAATGCTTCATAATTAACTATAAATGACATTTATTAAAATAAGTAATCAAAAAGAGGTGCTGGAATATATTGCAACCT